ACCAGAATGAAATTGTGTATTCTTTTTAGTATTTAAGACATTGCTCTATTGCCTTATTCATACGAAATTCAGCATCTCTTTTGAAAAAAGCAAAACAATGACTTTGTCTCCATTTTAATTTGGAAGGAGTCCAATTTAAGCTATTAAGAGATAAATGATATAATGAGAGCTGCGTGCAATTTACTGTAGAAAAATGAACAAGCAGAATGACCTCTCAAATGTTTGCATTTTTCTTTTTTGAACTTGCTGAAATTTTAATGTTCTAGGTAGCGAAGTCAAGTTTCATTTCAGCTTTCCTGTTAATGTCAACATGCACATGACAGGTTCCAACTAAGCAGAAAAATAGGACATTAGGATGCCAACCTAGCATTCCATTATTATCAAGAATAAATGAACTCAGGATACACAGAGGTTCTATATTAACTGTTTCCAGAATACACTTCTATGTACAGTTCTGTCTCACAGGATTGTCTCTGTCTAGCAAATATTAGATGTTCTGGTAGTGAAAAAAAAAGTCTGAGAGCCTTTGCTTTTTCAGAATAATAATTGTGATACTATAATTGGGGGCAAAAATATATTTGGTGCAAACACAGGATCCTGGGCCTACAATCCCAAACCTTTGGAGCAGTAAAGTCCTCAAGCAAAGGTCATCCTCAGTTTTGCAGCTTCAGGCTTTCAATCTCAAGTAAGCCAATCAGATTCATACTAAGTGATGAACATATTATGTTAATGAGCATAATTATGCTAATGAACATTCCTTCAAGGAATCCTCATTTTTGATTCATTACTCAGATAGTATCATCTGAGACCAATGGAAATGTTTTGAAAGACTCAATTAACCCCTCTGAGGCCTCAGTAAATTAGTTTTCAATACCACCTTTCCTGTGGCTTCCCAGAGTTGCACCTGCCTATGATCATTGTTTCACTTGGAGCTCTCTGCCTTTCTCAGATTCTTAATTTTCTTTCTGACAGGGAATTCAGCCTTGACTGGAAAAAAAGACACAAACCACAACAACACACCAAAAAACCAGAAAACCAAAATAAACCAACGACCCACAGAAAAGCCCTATAATCATGTTTCATTTCAGAAGCCCTCTATGTTGCTTTGCAAGAACCAATATCTTGATTGAGTGATGGTGGCATTGGCTCTGCAGACTGTCCCAGAGGGATCATATCCTGAGCAAGAAGGGGAAAGCACTAAAATAGCAGGAAAGCTGCCAGAGTGTGCCTGCCCAGGGCTGGAGTGGTGTGACTGTCCTGGGATTGGCCCTGGACTGGCACCATCCTGACCAGTGCATGTTGGATTCCATAGCTAAAGGATTTCTTGCTACAGATATTCTCTATCAGACAGCTTCTGCCTTACATTCCTGATCCAGCATGGTCACACCCGTTCCCAAGCTTCTGCCCACCCTCTGGTGCGTTATTGCACACCCAGTACCATGCACAAGTTTTTAAAGGTTACATGCATTTAAATATTATTCCATTCATGTGCTGGTATTAATAACAAAATTTATATCAACATCATCTCTGCAGTAAATTCAAGGCCATGTCACTTCAGCTCAGCAGCTGTGGCAGTACAGGGTTTAAAAGGACACAGGTAAGAGAGAGTTTTCTCCTGACAAAATACAGGAATGTGTCCTCTCACAGTTCTGTTTTCTCCACAATAAATCTCTGCTGTAAGGTTGGGCAGCTTTACTCTCTGTAATCAGCACTGCCCCACCAGTGGGTTTTTAATATGCTTTATTAGCTTAATATGCCTGAACATTTGTGTGTAGGAGCATTTGTGTGAGAGTGTGAGTCCAGGCTCAGCTGCAGGGAGAGCAGAGCTCTGCAGCCCTGGCCCCCCAGGTTTAAGGGTGCACACACAGTATCTGATGGCATGGGAATCACAGAATCACCTGGTAGTTAAGGTTGGAAAAGACCTCCAAGACCAACAAATCCCACCTTTCACTAAACACCATCACAAAGTGCCAAGGCCACTCATTCCTGAAACTCCTCTGGGGATGATGACTATGCACTTTCCTGGGCAGTCTGTTCCAATGCTTAACCACTCCTTCAATGCAGAACATTTTCCTAATATCCAAGCTGAATTTCCCCTGGCACAGCTTGAGGCCATTTTCCTTTTTTCTTATTCCTAGCGGCCTGGGAGAAGAGGTTGACTCCCACCTGATTCCATCCTCATTTCAGAGAGTTGTAGAGAACAAAAAGGTCTCTTCTGAGCCTCCTTTTTCTCCAGGCTAAACAACCCCAGCTCCTTCAGCTGCTCCTCACATTGCAGAAGTCACAGGTCTCTCCTCTCACCACTGTCATCACTTCACTCCATCAAAGCTTGGACATGTGGAGCTCTCTGCAGTCACCTGGGAGATCTCTCAGAGGCTCTGACTGATTTATGATGATTGACAACTGCCAGTGATTATGAAAATTGGTAGCCAGTATAGCATGTATTACTCATGTCTGCAGAGCAGGGCATGGAGAAATCATTTTTCTTATTAGTATTCCTAAAGGTTTACTGTTCTTAGCTTTGTTCAAAGAAACTGAAAGGCCCTGGGAAAGTGATGCAGTTCTATAAACAGGTCAGACATCATGTCAAGCTGTTTTCAAAATGTAACTTTCTTAGTTGCCACAAGGCTCTGACTTAATATGTAAGAGAAAACAAATGAGTCTGAAAATCTGTTTAGCAGTTTAGAAAATGGGATCTGGGATTGCTTTAAACAAGGTCATAAAGACCTCTCAACCTTTCCCTTTTTATTTTTTTTCTTTTGGTAAATATATTGACTGTCTTGATGGTGCACTGCAGACAAATATCTACATGCTGCACATAATGAAACCGTGTAGTTACTTCATCTGGACAAGCTCCCAGTGCAATTGCAACCAAAGTAAAACATCCCTGAGCCTGTGAAGAAGTGTCAAAACAAGAAATAGAACAGCACAGACCTGAGATGTTTTCCATTTGCAGACCTTCATATAGGTGTCTTCTTTCATACCCTGAGCTGTATATTGCAAAGCATAATTTGATGACAGACGTGAAACCGTGTATTAGTTTTTATTTTGACAAATTCATTAAACATCACATAGCTTGAAAAATGAACCAGGAGGCACTAAGCCAGCCTGGGAAGACTGTACTTCATAAACTGAATTGCTCACATGGGCAACATTTTGGTGGAAGTTATAGATTTTCTAGCATATCCCTGATAGATAGCACTAATATAACTTCAATAAAAACTCTGGATATGTCAATATAAAATTTTTTCCAGCATCGAAAGATGTAAGATACTTCAGTTAATAAATTGGAAGGCTCCTATTCCTCACGGAATGCTAACTCACACATGGATTACAGCAAGTATTGAAGCCATCCAAGGTGCAGCAGGTAGCTCGGGTGGCTTATAAAAATTACACTAAATTAAGTTATGAGTGTACAATAGGCAATAATTGGAATTTGAGATCTAGAACAAGCATTTCTCTACTATATTAGCATTCTTCTATTTTTAACCCAAAGGTAACACTTGGTTTTTCAAAACTGACAGAAGAATGAAAAAAATAAACTGTCCCTGCTGCATAGAATTGATGTTCTTTCTCTTTGTTCCCAACATACAACTTTTCACTTGCTTCCCTAAGATTTACTGGCTCTTTTTAAATTTCCTGCCACTTCCAAATTGATCTGAGGTATGAGGAGAGCAAACAGGTTTCTTGTTTTGGAAGAAAAACAAAGGACCCAGAGGACTGCCAGAGCAGGAAGGAGGTAAAGGTGTACATTTACACACCTAGAGGTGTACATGTGCATATAAAGAAACATAAATATAAAATATTTGTTTGTGCCAATGTTTTAATTCTATAGCAATTTCTGCATCTTGCAGACCATGACCTACCCCAACAGGATGCACAAAAAGGGACTGGAAAGAGCTGCCTGGTTGTTTCTGCACATTCAATCTCCAGTAATTTTAAATAGCAAGGAGACATGGGAATTCACAAGTGTTTGAATGATGACAGTTTTGAAAACTAAAATAAAAGACACTTGAAAGGCCCAAAGCACTGTCATGCATGGGACTGAGACAAAGCAGTGTTCATTGCCAGCTTTCATATTCTGCAATGGCAGATTCCTGTATTTAAATGTTAGCACCAGCACAGGGTATTCATTTATCTATCACAGGCACCCCTTTGTACTTCTACCTGGTATTTGCTTCTGTTCCTGCAGTTACACGATGACACAACATGAAACATTTTTTCATTTGAGTTACAACAAGAGGAAAACACATTTAAACTCTACAGCTGAAGAAATCAACAAATTTTCAGTGATCTGAGACAGTTGTTCTGTTTTCAGTGCAGGTAGATGCTCCATATTCATATGAGAATCAACAAGACAATAAATTTGGAAGCCTGCTAAATTATTATTATACTGACATGACTGAAAATTCAAACTCTTTACTCTCAAAAGCTATGTTGCATAATCTAGGAAAACTATTTATTCTTTCAGTTAGGACAATAGATGATTTTCTTCTTCCTGAGAAAATACCCACAAAGTGCCTCTCCTTTTACTCTCTAAGCAGAAAAAATGCATATATGTAAAAACTTTTGGTTTTGTTGATGGCCAAGCACAAAAGGGGAAGAGAGTGTTACATCCACAATGGGGTTGAATGGAAGATTTTCCATTCCACAATATGGAAGATTTTCTCTTCTGTGAACAAGTGCAGAAATGTTCATAATTAATTCATTGGAATATAGGGCATAAATTCCCTTATGTTTTTTTCCTGCAACAAATATGATTAATCTCATATCCATGCTGCATATTCCTCCTGGATGAAGATTTCACTTCTGAAAAGTGATGAACTCAGCAGCCAAAAATCAGCAGATAATACTATCACTACAACTGCTTTCCAGAGAAATATCTGTGATTAGAGCACCATTCCCACACTGGGGATCAAATCCAGAATTTAAGCTGAATTACTGAAGTACCTGTAGACATTTTGTCCTCAAGAAGATGAGACTGGGAGAAATTCCATCCTGTACAGAAATAGGAACTTGCACCCTAAGTAAGTGTTGCAGAGTTCTCACCACAAGCAGGAAAAGCAAAACCACTCTAGTCCTAAAGTCTTCAGTCCAATAAAGCATGTTTTTGCATGCTCTGTATGTTTCTTGTTTGTTTTCGAGAAAATATGCCATTTGGAAGCTAAAAGCTCTTCTGAAGGTGAAGTGCTCATCAAAATGAGGGTGCTACAGTCAGGAATGAGTCAGGAATGTTTAGAAGGAGATTTTGGCAGCAAAGTTGCTAAACCCACTCAGCAGCTTGCCTTGGTTTTCCCCCTGAACAGAGAAGAAAGTCAGGTCCCTCTTTTCTTCCCTCAGCCCTGTCTCTGACAGCAGAGCCTCTTGTGAGGCCCCATCCTCATTGTTTGCCATCATAATGCACTGGAATAGTGCATCAGGGCAGTGGAGGTTAAGAAAATCTGAGCTGCTTAGAGATTTGACTGGACAGGTAAGAGCTCTCCAAGTCCCTGAATCTCCTTTCATTACTGCTCATTCCAGCAGAGCCTCCCTCACAAGTCAGAGGAAGCAATTTTGGCAGATGAACAGGCTGCAGGGATGCCCTGCACCTTGTCCACAACAGATGAGAAAATATGACATATTGCTCCAATGTCTGAAGGGTTTTCAAGGCTGGAGGAGAGAAAATACCTGTGGAAATGGGGAGATAAAAGGCTGGGCAGAGGGCAGGTCCAGGAGACCAAAATGACCCAGAGCAGGATTCACTGAACACACCTACTGGGAATTGTATTCCATAAGAACAGCAACTTCAAATGAGATATTTCTATATTTTATAAAATATTTTTATATTGATTTTACAATGTTTTATATGAAAGATGTGTGTGTGTGTGTTACACAGATGTGTCTCACATGCCCAGTGGTGACAGGAGAAGCAGACACTCCTGCCTGTGAGCATTGCCATGGTGGCAAAGCTGCATTCACACAACAGGCAGGAGTTTCTGGGGTACCTCCTACCAGGCCAAAACTTTGCCTCTTGCAATATGAAGAAAGCTGGCACCAACTTAAAATTTAATTTCAAATTGGTTCAAAAATAGTCCAATTCAGACTTTAAGAGCAGTACTCTGAAATTAAATTTACTGGCCTGACTAGCAAAGACATAATATGACTGAATGTACTCCCCAACTTTAAAACTTAAACAAATTATTTTGGACACTGCAAGAGTTAAAAATTCATGCAGACATAGAAAAGGAATAATGTTGCTGAATGTTTAATGCAATTCATTTCTCAGCACTGCCTAGGAGTAAACAGGAGTGACACGTTCCTTTCTGATAAAGATCTCTCAGTTCTGGGGCTTCTCTCCCAGCCCTTCTCATGGCTGGCATATGGTGCACTTGGGTGGGAATGCGCTTGTGCAAAACTGGGACAAACTGGGGGTTTGTGTGATGCATTTCCTTCAGCAGAAGTGCAAGCTGTTTGTTGTACCAGACAGATAATGATCTCTAAACACATTCATTGCCTTAGAGGCTTTCCTGCTGTGATTTCTTTCTTATCATACCTCCTCAACACAATAAAATATCTAAGAACAAAGCATAAAAAAGGAGAGAATTGAGTCATCTATGTGGAGATCATCCATTTGATCAGCTATACAGAAATGTATTTTTGGGGGGCTGTGTGAATACTACCGTTAGATTATTTCACCGCAATATCTTTACTGACACAGTATCTAATTGATTTAGGTCAGAGATGAAGATGAAATTCCTCCTGGCAGGGTGGGCAGGGCTGGCACAGGGTGCCCAGAGCAGCTGTGGCTGCCCCTGGATCCCTGGCAGTGCCCAAGGCCAGGCTGGACACTGGGGACAGAGGAAGTGTTCCTGCCATGGCAGGAGTGGGATGGACCTTGAGGTCCTTTCCAACACAGGCCATTCTATAATTTTTATTTTTCAAATCCAGCGCAGAACAGATCTTAAACCACATTATCATACATTTTAGATTTAGAGAAAAACAAAGCTGAATACATGAGCAAGGCCTCTGCTGATGTTTTTTAAAGTTCACTCAGGCATTCTTCAAAATGATGGTCAGCATGTTGATTCTGATTAAATGGAGCTGAAAATCAGATTTTCTCAGTATACCACATCAGTATACATCTGTTGATCAGTGCTAATTGGGCCTATATTTTCTCATTTGTAAGCTCTGTATGTTTTATGGAGATGTAAGTAGCAACACATTAACATATATAATGTGTCTTTGGAAAGCTTCTGCTGAGTAAGTGACCAATAAATTGCTGTTAATGTAAACATTAATCAAATTGAATGCCAGTATAGAAAAAGTATCCAGTTTAGAGGGAATATCACCTTTGTACTGTGTATTTTGCTGTTGAACTGTGGCTAAATAAGATTGATATTTTCTGAAATTCAATTACAAAAAAGTATACTTGGTTTAGCATAGTTTATGCCACCTTGAAGAGCTTATCACTTCATTGGTATTAATGCACACCAGTCTCTCTGCAATCCTGAATTAAATGTCCATCCAATGACTGAAGGAATTTTTAAAAAAGGAGGAAAAATTTTCCAAAGTTAGTATGAAATTATTTAATCTGAGAGAGAAAAGGTCAGCATATAATGCCAGAAAGCAGTGAGTACTTTGAATAAGTGTAATGATCTGTATGTGGCCTAAACAAGCTATTGTTTGAGCATAAATGTTCATTATTGTGAACAAATGAGAGACTGCAGTTAGGGCAGAAATGGTAATAAAGTTACAATATGCAGTCTGCTGTCAAGAACAGAGAAAGCATTTAAATTATAGTGCTTCTGTGCACTTTAATAACACCTTTTTTGTTTCTCACCATGAAACATTTCTTTTATTCTTATAGGACTTGACTTTTCTCAAAAAAATTCCAGTCATTAAAAGAAGTGAGGCTAAACCAGAGTTTTTTATGAACTTCCCAAGGTAGGATTATGCAGATATAGAAACTGAACCCTTCCTCAGAAGAAGTGTTTAAGAGAAAAGAAAGCATTGGTGAGCAATTCCCAGAGAGGACAATTGTAACACTGTGATTTCTCAGATCACAAACACAAATAAAACCTAGTATAAGAGAAAGCATTATGTCAGACAAGGCCAAACTTAAAACAAAGGGAGACAATTTGTCAGAGTTCTATCTTTGCTAACATATTTAATTCTGGTGCCTATCTTTGGCAAGAAGGGAGAAGATATTTTACACTGAGTATGGGTTTAGAGGTAACAAATATCCCAGTCTGCAGCCCAGGTAATTTGAAAGTCCCAGTCTGTGGTCACCAAGAGAAACACAGAATGGGACTCCTGGGGTTTGGCTGCTTTTTCTGCTGTTGTTTGCTTTGCAGATCCTGAGCACTGGGAGGCTGGACAGTGAGGATTGTTTTATGGCATTACATCTATTTTCTTTTTCATTGCTCAAGCAGATCCTGCATTACAGGAAACACGCAAAGTTTCTTCAGGAGCACACAAAGGTATGTGGGACTTTTTTTTCACTGCTAAGGAGTGAATGAAATACTTTATGAGGGAGCTGAATGTCAAAAAAGGAGGCCTGCCTTTTGTAAAAAAAAAAATAGAGGTGGCTCATTTCTTAACTGAGATTCTAAGGAGGTTGTCTCCTGATCAAAATGGCCATTTGTTTTCTACTTCTCACTATTTCCTTTTAGACTTTTCTGAATAATTTATTTTGACTGATATTGGTTTAATTGCAGTTATAACCACCGCAGGAAAACTGAAACACAATGACCTTTTAAATTAGCATTATTTACTGAAAAGAAAGAGGAAATATTATTTCTCTCTGCAACAAAGCCAGTAAAAGCTCAGGAGGTTTTGGTATTGCTTTTAGTACAATTGCAAAGATTTCATGAAAAGGGAGCTATAATTACCATCAAGTACAGCTTTGACCTTAAGAAATACCTCAAAGGACAATTAGGTTCAGTTCTGAAGGGAGTCATCTTTAACTTTCATGCTGAATAAAGCCATTTTCTTTCCACAGTCCCACCTTCACTATGTGCCAAGCATGAGCATGGTATTTTTTGGCTGCAGTGAAGAACCAGAAGGTTCTGGCTGCTTTAGCTGTGCATTATCACCTTCAGATCATGCAACCTTGATGAGTTTTCCTCTGCTGGCTCCCTTCTAATGGATCTTTAAAGGCATTTGTGGGATCATTCTTTGCTGTTACAAAGTGCTTGCACCTGCTGTGGATGAATCAACCTCCCAGAGGTTATCAGAACAGCTCTCTGTTGAGATTTGGTTGTTCTCATTAATACACTAAAGGCACTAAAGTAATGGAGCTCTGGTCAGGTGAAATTGGGCCTGAGCAAAGTAAAATTTAGCAGCAAATACCAGTAAAACAACTGAACACTGAATCAGTGTTGTGGTGTTTGACAACATTTTGTAAGCAAGACAGAGGAATCGCTTCTCTAGACCTGTTACAACAGGGATCAGACAGGCCTAGTGCAAATATCAGGAAAAAAAATCCCCCCCAGAATAAATAGCTTTTGAAGTTATTTGGGGTTTGGTTTTGGTTTGCTTTAAAAACAAAACAAAACAAATCAAAGAAACAAAAACCCTTTTTCACAATATATTTTTTTCCCTCAAAATCTTCCCCTCTGTTGATGAACAAAGCACATTTCTTTTGAAAGATTTCTTTCACTCTTTCCATATTTTCTGAGACTGCTATTGTCTATTAAAAAACCCAGAAGAGGGTTATTTTCCAAACAAAACCAAAGATGTTTTCATTGCACTGTGAAGGAAGTCCTTGACCTACAGAACTTTCTTCATGTCTATGAAAATCTGCAAGTTTCCTAATGCTCAAAATACACAGCTTTCCTTTTGTTGCCTTCTGAATCTGCCACAAGGCAAATCTTTATTATTCCTTATGTTCTGACCCTTGTCCCTTTTAGAAGTTTTACTAGGTACAGAAATCTGGTATCTGCCAAAAAATTAAAAACAAGAACCTGTAATCTTGATCAAAAGACTTTTCTCACTGGATATTACAATAAAATTTGGGATTTTTTTCAGAAGGTAAGGCAGCATTTTATTCATCGAAATTCAAGGCATTGGATACCTAATTCTCTTCAGCGGGAATGAGATTTAA